AATATTTAAAAATTCTGCAATTTTTGTCAATAAATAAACGTGGTGGCTCCAGCATGACAGTGGGGAGCACAGGCCACTGGCTGCATGGACATGGGCGATCACCCTGCAGCCCCCCAAGCGCCTCCTTCCTGGGACAGGGACTCTGGGGGGGAGGAGGTGACACAGCACAGGTTTTGGGCCTGCCCCAGAAGCATCCTGGGGGCCAGGTGCACCAGGTGTGGGGCAAGCAGGCTCAGCTTAGCAGGATCCAAGTGTGGAGGGGCTTAGTGCGGGGGTGGGTCCGGGTGGGATGAGAGGGTTCTGTGTGGGCCAATCTGGGTGTGTGGGGGATCTGAATGCACAGGTGCTCATTCAGGACTTCTCGGTGCAGGGACAATGGGACTCTGCGGGGGTGAGGTGTCCAGGTGAAGGTGCTTGGGGCTGAGCAGAGGGGATTTAGGTGTGGGAAAATGGGGCTCTGCAAGGGGGATGGGATCTGAGTGCAGCTGGTTGTGGCTTAGTGGGATGGGGTCCCAGGTGTGGTGTGGGGGGCTTGGGGAGGTCCAGGTGTGTGGTGGATGGGCTCATTGGAGTGAGGATTTGATGGGCCTGCTTAACAGTGGATCTCCAGCTGCTTCTGCTGAGGGGATACCATATGCAAAGTTCCTGCTCCCCCCCCCATTGCGCTTTCCTCCCCACTGCTGCCTGTCCTATCCCTTTCCCCTTCCTCTCTCTGCCCCATTTCCCCTCTCCCTGCCCCATCCCCCTTCCTGGCCCTCTTCTCAGTATTTATGCTACCTTGCTTGCTAGCATTTCCCAAATGAGGATTGGGCAGGGAAAACTTTGTTCTCTCTCCCTGACTGTAACATCACATGTATGGAACAGGACTCCTGTTCCAAACCTTCTCGCACATGTGCTCTGTTACAAAATTTCTGTTAATACATTTAGCTCACATTGTTGTTAAACCAGCAGGGTATCTGGACCTGTTGGCAGACAGCCCACTAGCAACTGTCCTTTCATTGTTGAGAGAAAAAAGCCTTGATGAGAAACTACATTCTTACACTTTAAATTGTCCAATAACTCAGGGCAGGTCTATACTAGAAACTTTTCCAGTAGAGGGGTGTAACTTTTTTAAAATGACATTTTTATACTTGCAAAAAGCCCTGGTTTAGGCACAGTTACACCAGTTGTTATAGTTTATTTCATTTGGGGAATTGGTATAACCTATACCAGCAAAAGAACTCTTGTATAAGCTTGTGTCTATACTGGCAAACCCTTTTTAGTGTAGACATGGCCTCAAAAATGGCTGAACAGATTTAACTCAGATTTTCAAATAAAAGAAAATAGATGAAAAATTTCAAGCCCCGAAGAAAACTTTACAGAAAGCTGTAGGCAACTGACACCTGTGAATGTTATCAAGTGTCTGTGAGAATTATGTATTGGTTTTTCAAAAGCTCCTAAGTGACTTATGAGTACAAGCTGCAATGGGACTGGTGCTTTGAAGTCCCGTAGTTGCTTCTGAAAGTTTCATCCTTACACTTTCTAGGTGCATTTCATATTATAGAAAATTATTTTACTTTGGGGCTTTTGTCTAAAGTCCTCAAAGTACTTGGCAACAAACAACTAATTTAATCTTGCATCCACAAATGCCAGATCATTTAGCATCAGGGTGGATTTCATTTAAATCACTAGTCAGAAAGATTTAAATCACTAGTCAGGAAGACTCAATTTAATCATGGATTGCTACATAAAAGTGTATTCTTCACAACTCAGAGATAGATGTAGGTTTCATTTTTAGAAGGTACACACTATACATTTTTAAAGTGATTTATTTTGAAAATTTTGGCTAGGAGGTGCATCAAATGAGCACTGCAACTGTATGTTATTAGCTTCGGACTCTCTTCTAAAGATTTCTTCCCATATTGGATACATTTGCAGCATTGTCTGTGACCAAGCTGCGTACTAGATATTTGAATTTTTTTTCACAGTTTGTTATAGCTTTTACTGCTACTTCTTGTAAGTATTCTGCTGTGTGTGCGTTTCCTGATGTATCAATTGTTTCTTTAAGGACGACATTCCCTTCTTCTGTTGTCACACAAGCACATACAATAGGATCATTGTGGACATTGCTCCACCCATCAAGACTCAGGTTAACAATTTTTACCCTCTAGACCTTTTGCACACTGCTCAGTTTCTCATTTGTACACTTTATCCAGCAATTTGCCTGCGACATTTGTTCTTTTGGGTGGACTGTATCCTGGTCTTAATGATTGAACCATGTTAATGAAGTGTGGGTTCTCAATCATATGGAAAGGAGAGTTTGTTGCATAAACAAACCAGGCAATATTGTCATCAGTTACCTCTTTTTGTAATCTGCTGGTTCTTATCACAAACTTATCTATGGTTGTTTCTGGATGATGGAGATTTTTTATTTCTTTTTGCTACAGGTGATATACTGTGGCTATGTGACATATATGATGTGACTGAAACGCTATCAGTGGCAGATAACTCTGAAACTATAGAAAATGATGGTGATCTTGAAGATGGATAGTCTTCAGAATTTTGTATGTTGAGGATGGATTCTCCTAAACAAAATAAGTCAATGCAGTTATTTAATGATTACCATACAGCTCATTTAGTATTA